GGGGGGGGGGGGGATGTAATGACCTAGCTGGTAGTTTGAGTAATTTAGCCCCGTTTCCCTATTTATTGCCTCTTCTATGTTATATTATGGTTATGCGACTTGCCAGGATGTTTAGTTCTAGTTCCGGGTGAGTTTTGGAGTGAAATAATACACTTAGTCCCAAAGTTAGAAGCTTAAGTTGAAAGAGTTGATCGGAGTTTGACTTTTATGTAGACGACTCTGGAATAGAGTTTTTACGGTTCCAGTAGCTTCCTATGGTGATTTTGGACTTAGGAACGTGTTCGAATATTGATTTGGAGGTCCATAAGTCATTTTGGCTTGAATTGATGAAAGCTAAAAGGTTGAAGTTTGAAAGGTTGAGAAGTTTGACTGGGAGTTAACTTTATTGTTATCGGGTTGGATTCCGATTCCGGAAGTTGGAATAGGTCCGTTGTGTCATTTATGACTTGTGTGTAAAATTTGAGGTCAATCAAAGTTGTTTTGGTATGCATCAGCTTTAGTTTTGGAAGTCGAATGTTCATAGTTTCAATAGGTTTGAATTGGGTTGGGATTCGTAGAATAGATGTTGTTTGATGTGATTTTAGGCCTCTAGTACTTTCGTTATGTGTTTTGGAACTTGTTGGTATATTCGGACGGGGTCCTGGGGGCCCCGAGTGTGAATCAGATTGAAATCAAATCATTTTTGGACTTAATGGATTGCTGAAGGTGCTGAGGTTCTGGTGCAATAGCACATGCACACTTAGGGCCGCATGTGCGGTACCGCAGAAGCACATGTGATCCGTAGAAGCGAAGATTGGTCTGGTCAACTGGGGCCGCAGGTGCAGTCAATTATCCGTAGGAGCGGACGCGCAGAAGCGACTGGACTCCCGCAGAAGCGCAAGCGTAGATGCGCTTAGGGCTCCACAAGTGCGATATTTCTGGGGCCTAACTGAGGGCCGCACCTGCGATGGAAATTCCGTAGGTGAGGAGCCGCAGATGTGGTTAAGGGCTCGTAGAAGCAAAAATCGCTAGGCAAAAATAGTTTATTCGAGGGTTTAATTTCATTCTTCATCTTTTGACCTACATAGCTCAGTTTGTGGAGATTTTGAGGGAGTTTTTCAAGGAATTGATCGGGGTAAGTGATTCTAATTCAGATTTCGCTATTATACATGAATCCATTGTTGTTTTTATCATTTAATTAGTGTTTTGATTTAGAAAAATTGAAAAAAATTGTGAAAACTTCATAGACTAAATTTTGGGGATTTGGAGGTCGACTTGAGATTGGAATTGAGTAATGTTAATATGGTTGTACTCGTTATCGAATGAGTGTTCGGATTTTATAAGTTTGGTCAGGTTCCGAGATGCGGGCCCGTGGTTGACTTTTTGATTTGCTTTAAAGATTGCAACCTTATTATTCAGAATAGTTTCCTATGGTTTGTATTTATGGTATGAAGTTATTTTGGCTAGATTCGAGCCGTTCGGAGATGGATAACCGCGAAAAGGCTTACTAGTAGATTGA